ATATATATATATATATATATATACAAACGCCTTGTACTCTTTGCCGCCAAACCCTAAGGATAATTGCTGCTCAGCACTAAGCGAGACGCTTTACACCCTAAACCCTAAATCCTAATAAACACCACCGAAGCATAAACTCTAGCTCGTATAGGGTTGCAGCGGGGTATTCTTTTTGTGTTTTTCTCTGTTTTTGTTTAGATGGAATGTATGTGAACGATGCAAAAGAAGTTTCTACGGTCAACTGGCTCTTAAGCAGCACTTGGCTGCTCCCAAGCGTTGTAGGCGGCCCCGCAAAACCCTACACCCTAAACCCTAAACCGTAAACCTCTTGTTGAAATTTCTGGGTTCGAGCGTATAGGGAATATTATTCGCAATACCTTTTTTATAGAGATGCACGCAATCTCCGTGTGCTCACCTTCCCGTTGAATGGCTAAGGCAAAACATACTTGGGGCTTGAAACTGCATGCAAACATATCTGCATGCAAATGAACCCTCAGCTGCATGCAGATATGCAGACACCCCAATGTGGGCAGAACACCCACAGCTGGAGGGTACGGACAGACATTTGCTTTTTTTTGCATTTTCTTCTTGGCTTGAATACCAGCTAGAGGGGCCTCCCACAGTAGAAGAATATACACCAGAGGGTGGTGGTTCAGTGGATTATGAGTGGTTTAAGCTTACAAGGTTACTTGGTGAAGAAAGGGAGGGTCTTCTACACATGGAGGGAGATGTGCGAATTGAACAGATTCTCCCCGTATTAAAATTGCATAAATCTTTAATTGCCTGCAATGGGAATTAATTATTACTGACGCTTCTATTTAAGAAAATAAATGAGAATTAGTAACTGGGGTGAAGTCGGAACGAGGTAATTTTAACTTAAGCTATAAAAGATATAATGTATAATATATATAGAATATACTTTTACAATTATTTTTTACAATTATCTCATTTAGCGTGTTCTGGGTTTAATGCACATTTTGATAGAAATCAAATGGGTATTTTAAAGGGTTTACCCTCTTTACAAAGCAAAACCAGTAAACAGCCATTAACACCCTTCTTGCCACTGCAGCCAACTATAACTCCTCTATAAATACATACATATATATATATATATATATATATATATGAACCGTGGAAAAAATGGGTGGAACTGGCTTCTGAACTGGGGGGGATGAGTTTAGGAAGCCCGAAGAAAATCGAAGAAATGCCACTTTCTTTTCGTGAAGCATTTAGTACATTTTATGAAGATGAAGACTGCTAATCAGAAACCGTGTTTTCATCGTCATGTTTTGGCTGCACCGAATGTGGCATTATTCTTTTGACGGCGTTCCTGAAATAATGAATAATACAAATAAAGTGATACAAAGCGATTAACTTTATGATGGTGACTTGCGAAGAAATGCCAATTTTTTTCATCGACCGGTGGGCAACAGATGCAGACCGGTATATCCAGGGGAGAGGAAAGCCGGAAGGCAAAGAAATTGCATTGAGAAAAGTGGAGAGAAAAGAAATTATAAGTTGTTTGACTCCTTTGAAGAAATGAATTTAATCTCGTATTTCAGTGTTTTCTTTACTCTAGATCGATACCTCCGCAGCCAATCCGCCATGGGGCTGTGCTGTATGCGAATGGATGAAGTAAAGCAACGAAAAACTTGAGAAATAATCAGTCTTGCTGTGTAATTTGGAATTGTTATTTATTTCTGCAGCCACGGGGCGTATGCACACTCCCTCTATTTCACATGAAAGCAATGCGTAGTGCGAATCGGCTCGCTGATTTCAGTTTAAGTTTCAGTTCAAGTTTCAGTTCACTTGGCGTTGTGTGGGAAGTTTCAAGACTTTGTGCTAAATTCTTGGATCATTTTCTTCACGATATTTTATTTGTTTGTCTATTCACTTCATTAATGCATCTGCCGGTGGGCTGAAACAGTCTTGGCCATGCGGGCATTTCGTCAGCCCTCATGCCCGCCCTTCTTCTACTTGCTTCATTTTCTTCTTTCTCTAACACTAAGCGTTTCCACTTCACACCCATTCCTGATCCGTAGACCTACGAATCAGCTGCAACCCACAAGCCCAACACCACCGGTAGTTGGGGGGCCCTTCCCTCGCCGGGTCCGGTCGTTGCTGTTAAACGCGTGTGTTGCTGTCTCTGTTCCTCCTTGGCAAAGCAAAAGAAGAGTTTTTCATCCTCTTTATTTGCACTCTTCAGGTGTCTGCACAGCTCCCGTTCATCTCTCTTGTGTTCCAACAGAGGCCGCCACCACCACGGCAGCCACAAGTTCCTTCCACTCTTCGAGCAAGATGCTTGTGAACCCCCGAATGCTCCTTACCTCTCGGGCAAAGAGCTGTTTCAAGGCCTTCTACTCACAACCCCATGGCTCGCTGCATCCGCAGCCGTCTGTGCAACGGCGGCGCACTGGAGCTGAAGGCTGCCCCTCAATCTGCTGCGCTGCTTCAGTGACAGCGCAAGCCTCGGCGGCATCAGCGTGGCTGGATGCCAACAGCCATAGACGGCAGCACTACATCACTGAGCACAGCAGCAGCAGCAGCCGTAACAGCAGTAACAGCAGTAACAGCAGCCGCAGCAGCATCAGCAGCACCAGCAGAAGCCACAGCAGCATGCCGACCACTGTGCACGATCTCCGTATTTTGGAGAGAGTTTTGAGCCACAGCGGCACTCCGTCTGCTCCTGTGCTTGCAAAGGTTGCAGCAGCAACAGCAGCAACTGCAGGGGATGCCTCTAGAGCTGCTGCAGGAAGCGGACGAGTTGTGCTGCTGCTGCTCAATAGACCGTTCCCTTCTTACATCAGCTGTTTACTCAAAAACGCATCGTTAGTAATTGCAGCAGATGGCGCTACCAACCACATGCTGCCCATCTACCATGCTGCTGAGGCCCAGCAGCAGCAGCAACAACAACAGCAGCAACAACAACCGGAAGGTATACCGGAGGAAAGAAAAAGAAGCTCCCAAAACCCTTCCGTCGGGGCAGCTGCTCTCTTGCCTTCCAGTGTATGTACACTGCAGTTACCCACCTGCATATGCGGCGATTTAGATTCTTCAAGCCCGGAGGTGCGCAGCAAAAGTTTTATTTTTGTTATTTGTTTATTTGTTCTCATTCGGCAGCCCTTCGATGCATCTTTAGTCGCGGTATCAATGTTTGCAAGCCCATATCTCTAGGTCTCCATATTATATATATATGTATATATATATATATATGTATATATGCATATATATATACCCGTATATGCATAATATATTTATATACCTGCTCGTGCTTGTGTGTGTGCGTGTGTTTGTGTGTGTTCGTGTATGTTCGCGTATCTAGTTGCGACTAAGTATGCATTCGCGCATGTATATATATATATATATGTATACATGTACATATATATATGCATATATATGTGTACATTTATGTGTGTATTTGTATACATGGGGGATAGTTGGCATTCATTAATAAGTTTGTAGTGTTAAATCAAGGAGAAGGCAAACGGCTGTAGACTTTAAACAACAGAGGCGAAAAAGAGGAAACGGAGTTCATAGGGCTCTTAGCAGCATCTGACAGTGTTTATCTCAACTTCTACCTCATTTATTTGTACATTCTGCTTGTTTGCTCGTGCGCTTGTTTGTTTGCTTGCTTGTTTGTGTGTTTTTTACACGTTTGGTTTATTGTCTTGTACGCCGCTGCTGCTCTCTGTACAGCTGCTCATTTGCTTTGCTATTTTGTCTGCTGCTGCTGCTGCTGCTTGTTTAGGCTCTTTCTTTCTTTGAAAGTCGAGGAGTGCCGGTGGTGCGTCTCCCTGACCAGAGCCAGACAGACCTAGAGAAGACATTCGCCTTCTCATTGAACAAATATTGCTTATCTCCAAACGACACCGTCATTATCACGGGTTAGGGGACTGCTGCTGTTGCTGCTGCTGTTGCTCCTGCTGTTGCTCCTGCTGGTATTCTTGCTATTATTGTTGCTGCTAATGTGCTGAGGGTGTTGTTGTTGCTGCTGTTGTTGTTGCAGCTGCAGCTTCGTTCTTACTGTTGCCATCGGTGGGGTATGTTAGCGTGGCGTTGTCTGTGGATGTTCTTATTCATCTACGTGCTTTAATCTTCCTACAATCTGCTTTCTCTCTATTATATGCGATATAGGGGCTATTGGTGGGCGCTTTGATCACTCAATAGCCGCAGTCAGTTTCCTGTACAAAGTTCATAATGACGCTGTAACTGAGTCGCAGCAGCCTCCCAAGGTGAGCAACGGATGTCACTGTGTCTCACAGCAGCAGCAGCAGCTGCTGCCGCTGCTGCTCTGGCTCCTGTTTGTTTGATTGGTTCAGTACCTGTTGCCTTAGCACCATACTGGATTTCATTTCTATCGACAGGCATCAGAAGGATTCGCGGCTCCTGCTGCCGTTTCTGCTGCTGCAGCTGTTGCTTTTGCTAGATTCTTATTCTTAATGTGTGTGTTTTCTCATTTCAGGTGGTTTTGCTAGGAGGGTATAACGCATGTTTTTTGTTACCTGCGGGGGATAACGAGGTGTTGCTTCCGAATAAAGTCTTTACACAAGTTTGCGGGTTGCTGCCGATGGGTAGGTGGTGCTGTTGCTGTTTTGGTTTCCTCGCTGTGACGCATAGGCTTCTTTCTTTGCCTCAGTTGCTGAGACAGTGGCTGACACGGATCAGCAGACAGACCTGGAGCGCTAGCAGACGCACACAATTCTTGTTCATTCCTCCCCCTGCTATTGTTGCTGCTTCTGCTGAAGCCGCTGCTGTCTGTGCTGCTGCTGCTGGTGTGGTGTACAGCTGGGAAAGTGCGCAGCGTGACAACTGAAGGCTTGCAATGGAATGTGAGGGGCGAACCGTTGTTTGTGGGGGGCCTAATAAGTTCTTCTAACGTGGTGAGTGGGGCACGCGTATTTTTGGTGTAAATACACCTGAAGAGTTAGGGCTTTGTGATGTCTCTCTGCAGTTTAGCTATATCTAGGTGTTGATGAAGTGCGTACTCTCTTGTTTCCTTTGCGTCTGTTCTGTGCTGTCCCTAGAGAGTCAACGACCATATCAAAGTAACCACGTCTGACCCTCTCGTCTTCTTTGGCGAGCTTAAAAAGGATTTGTTGGCTCCCTAGCCTCTGCATCTACGCCAACTTTCGTTTAAGGATTAGAACACCTAGGCAGTAGTACTGAGAGCACACCCAATTCGCACATATGGGGAGTGTTTGCTTAGATGTGAACGTGCATTTTCGCGACTTGCTAAGAACACGTACATATATGTGAGCATGTGCATATTTGTATATTTATGCAACCATATATATATATAGCCGTAGCGCACGGGCTAAGGTGTGCAGGTTGGGTCAGAAAGCACACCGGTTCCGTGGCGGGAGGGGCCCTTTTGTCAGGGTTTATATTACCTTGTTTCGTTTATTTGAAATATTAAGTATTACTTCGAGTTCGATACGACTTGCAGTTGACGAGGGTTTGGGAAGAAAGTTTCAAGAAACAGATGGCGCTCTCTCTCGTTTCAATCCGCACACTTCTCGGTCTTTTGAAGCATGGAATAGAAGAGACATCAAACGTCTGATCAGTTTCAGATTAGTACAGTTCCTGTAGAGGGCGATGATGGCCAGTTTGACAGCTATCTATTTAGGTAGCTGGCTAGCTAGCACGTTCACTGGCTAGCTATTTTGCTGGCTAGCCAGCAAGCAAGCTAGCTGACATCGTCCAGGTTCGTTCAGCCGCTCTCGAGTTCCCATGAGGAATCCGTTACATTCACCAGGCTCATTGAGCAACGGCTGCTCACCTACCGTTATTAGTTGTCTTTGGATTCTTTCTCTCTGCTTTCCACCGGTGCCATTTACCTCAAGCCCACTACGACTGCTGGACCGACTCGTCACGAAACTAACATTTTTTTTTGCACAAACACTAACTGCAGCAACCGCAGCAGGCTCCAGCAGCAACAAAAACAATCATACTCTCCACAACATTGCCTGGACACCCTTCCTGTCTCAGTACAGAGTAATCGCTCTGAAGCTGGGAAGCAAGCAGGGTGGTGCGGCATTTGTCGCAAGAGAGGGACATCAGGCATTATTAGTAAAGTACTGCAATTGTTAGGCGCAGAATCAAGATTGCACTCAAGTGTACACGGAGTGATGCTAATTCCTTAGCCGTTATACGAGTTCACACCGGGGCAAGGCCCTTGATGTTCATTTGCAAAGGCAGCGGATATTCGATGTTGCTCTAGAAAAACCGCGTGGGTACACGCATCTTTCCGTTGCATCTGTGATGTGGAGGCCAGCCTCTCTAGAACCACGCTCTTTTTCTGCAACCACTGCTTCTTCTCCTCACCTCTGCTTAGGGAGTGGCATCAATTCTCATGTAAGACCAAGCCTGACCTCTTCTTCTTTCCCTACAAGCAGTGTGAGGTCAATGATATTCGGTGGCTGGCACTAGCTGAGTTGTGAGGAAACTTGTGACGCAAGTATAGATGCAGGGATAACCACGCTGTAAGCATATGCAGACTCTCAGTGCGCAGGCGTAGGCTCGACGATGCTATGGGCATCCGTACACAGTGGTACAACAGAAGAATATATATATTTTGACCAATGCCACACTAGATGATTGCTCGGGTGCTTCGGTGAGTGTGCAACAATCCTCATTAAGCTGCATGCAGGGTGCGCATTTAAGGCAGAAGCAACTGCTACAACGAAACTGGAATGACGCAAAGTGAACCCAGCCTTTTCTCTTGGATGGAGGAAGAGCTCACTTTCACTTGTCGGAACTTCTGGAGTCATGAGGGAAGCACAACTGTCTTTCAAAACTTCGTTTCTTACCCATGCATATATTCACGATTGTTTAGAACTAAGGAAAAGGGCCATCGTTACAGGCGAAACGCGACAGGCGTAGCCTCGCTTGTCCGAAGATGGCACTGAATATATTTAATTGAATTGAGGTTGGATACTAAAGACAGTTAACAATAGCCTAATCAACTGCACACTGCCTTAGTTCGTACGGAAGGGAGCTCGAGCATGCGTGTCTGTGGGAGTGCCCCGTAGGAGGAGTTGTAGCAGGAAGTGCTGCAACTATTGGCAGGCCGCCTCCTCTCCTCTCAGCCCAAGGCCTTTGTGCGGCTGTTCGCAGAATGCCTGGAAACTGGAGGTGAGGTTTTGATTGCCTCTTGGCTGACTCTTCAATGAGCTGTATCGACATTACTGCATCTCACGACACTCCTCGGCACGAACCAAAGGCCCCCGCTACATGCTACAGGGAGAAGTGGCATCCCGATACATGTGTTTCCCATAGACATAACTGAACTATTATTGTAAGCGGAGAAACTCTTTCTACAGGAACACGAAGCTCTCTACCCATCACGCAAGCACCCGAGCGTCCCCGAAAGGATAGATAGATGCAACAGATGCGCAAACCGAGGTTTCCTCGCACCCGAGGGCAGAGTAGGGAATTTTTCCGCCCATTTTCACTCATTAGGTGTGATATGCGAGTCAATCAATACCCTCAATAATAATAAAATGGATGAAGAGCTGCTGTCTCACGCATCTGGAACTCCCCATCCGCATCGATGGTGCCAGATGGCCTGCAAGATGGGCTGGTACCTTGAGTTTGAAGACAAGGGATCCTGCCGATAAAACACCGACTAAATTCGTAAAGTAGGAGATAAATATTTCAATTAGAGAAATGACCTCACAAATGCTGGCAGATGAGAGGGAAAGGAGGGAAAAGGACCTTTAGGCGCTGCGCAGTGCCACTAGAACACCAGCGAACGAGACCCCGTCGGGCGCGGGTGACAATGCGCAGGTTCAAAGTCGTCTAACAAGTCGAACCGAATGGAAAAATTTTGTAAATTCGTCCTACGCATTTTAATTTACATTTAGCAGATATTCAGCACTATTCCTTGGCTTTCGATAGCTGCAATCGCCGCGAGACCGTTTGGGTCGGTGCAGAGAACCTCTCGGTTTCCGTACTGCAATTCGAGTATTCCGCAATCTTCCAGCGCTTTCCATTTTACGAAATATTCATGCATTTGTCTTCAACACCTTGGGGGCAATGGCTTTGTCACATGCTTACCTCGACTCCGCAGGAGCCGCCGGAACTCCGCGGGTGGGGGTTGATGTGCCGGTTCAACAGCAGGACGTTTACCTGAGAAGTCGTGAGGCTTCGAAACTGGTTAGTGAACAGAGGCGTCTTAGCGCAGCCCTCACAGCGCTTATGGCGCTGGGAGCCGCACTCGCCGTTGCATTTGTGGTTGTGAAGTGCTTTAAAGCACTCAAATACAATCAAAAGCGTATTTTAGAAGATGGAGCCCGAATATTAGCCGAGGGAGAACCTGACCAATGCTCTGTAGGTTCCTCTGAGAGAGAAGGCTATCAATGCTCTTGAGGTTTCTTGCTACAGCAGGAGAGGAACTGCAGTGGGAAAGAGCGTTTGATTGCTCGTAAGAATTCGGCCAACTCAACGCACATTGCATGCAAGGGATATGCTGGAAACCATGTGGGGCTCCTTTGCGTATTTACAATGTTGCCCACTACAAAACGCCATTGGCCTTTTGAACAGCATGAGTGCTTGAATGGGAAGGGCAGGCACCTTTGGTGGCCCGCGTTCATTGTTTTGTGTTAAATATTCTGTCTGCTTTGATACTTATATTCAGTTTAGTGTTGGCAGGAGCTGGTTGGAACGACGCGAGGCATAGGTGACGTCAAGTGGGCTTTACGCTTTCGTCTACCCGGTTGCTGCAAGTAGAAACGTGCAGGAAACTGCTTTGTGTTTCTCTACTGCACTCAACAGAGTACTTATCATCTGCGATACAACACCTTCTCCATACTCTTTACGAGCAAGCATGCTGGTGCATGCATCGTTGTGGAGTGCAGTATCTGTCAATGGCCTGTGCCACTAGCTTCCAATGAGTGACGCTAACCCATGTTTCACGAAGCTAAAAGTTTAGAGTGGGGTTTACGAAAAGGGTAGAATGATGTTTTACCAGCACACCCCAGAACCCACGCTGAAATCTTCACTTGATGGAGAAAAGCCAAGGGAGTGGCACTCTTGCTCGGCGCAGGACTGCCAAGAACAGCCGCACACGGGAGAGGAACTACGGTCCTACGTAAACTTATGTTGAATAGCGTGATGTGCTGTTGAAGGGTCATTTGGCTTTAGGGCAGCGGCGGATAGCTGGGATGCGTTGTAGCGCACACTAGGCATCGGCAAATGCGTGCGTGTGAGGTGGTGAAGGAATGAGTTTCGATGGACACCGCATACAGCAAGTGCGTATGCGGAGGCATGGACGCGTGCTCCACACGGCCATTTAGCGATTTCTTTTCGTCAGCGCTCTGGCCGTGGTTACCTTCCTCCAGCAGTTCAGGGCGCAACCCCTGCGAGATTGATTTCAGCACGCTCCGTGTGCTTTCCTGGCACACTTTAGAAGGACGGAGGATTGCGAGGGTTCTCGGGGTGTACAGGGAACGTCGTGCTGGCAACAACATGCATTCCTGTGGAGGAACTACATCCTGGGTGACTAGTCGAATCAGCAGCGCTTGGGCAGAGCAAGGTATTGTAGTGAATTCTCATCAGTTTGTGTGCATGGCAGACAGCAAAGGTGTGATAGAGTCACGAGGCACGGTGTGCATACGTTGTGACACCCGCATAGCGGTTGTTTGGATGGCGCTGCAAAAGCGCAGAAGGACGCAGATACGTTAGAGCGAAGCTAACCAACTGGGGAATCTGAGATTGCTGCGGACTGCATTTTGGTCCCGTGGTCAGCCCGGTCACTGCAGGAGACGCTTCCTGGCAAA